TATAAAAAATCTAAAATATAATTAGAATAATCATTGAGTTATAACAAACTACTTAATTATTATCTTTATAAAAAAATTGTATTATTAAATAATAAATAAAAAAATAAATTAGAGAAATACAAAAAAAAAAATTAAATAGTTAATTTAATACTAATATCAACGTTTTTTTTAATTTTTATGATATATCTTCATATTATAGCTTTCTTAAAAGTCAAAATCACATAAACCTATTATTATAACATCTAATGTGACAAAAGAAAAACGAAACATTAAAATCAAGATACATCTCACTACATTATGCGAACACCTTTCTAATAACTTCACAGTAACAATCCACCGTATTCATGCATACCCCACGAACTAATCCCATCCTAACCTAATTTCCATCATCCCCTTTATATCTCTTACCAATTTCCTTAAATCACCAAGCATTGTTTAATGTTCCCAAATGGAGGTTAATATTAGGCAGGACATGTTACGTGTTGCTCTTGCTAGAACCTATACCTCATTTTAATTTTTGTGATAAAAACAAATTACTCTATTATTGTTTAGATCTATAATATCTAACATACATAGATACAAATATTTAGTTGACATATTTATTACCTTTTTTCATTAATATTAATAACAATAATAATATAGATAGATTCCAGCTTTTTTGAAAGTTATATATAAATGATAAAAATCAATTGAAAACTCTCTTACTCTTTTAAAACCACAATAAAATAAAATTAAATCAAGACGGACAAATAATAAAACAAAGAACAGAATAGGACTTAGGGTTCGAGTTCTAGTACTAATAAATTGGGTTAAGTGGTAACTTCACATATTTCTTGTAACAATATTGATGAAAACAAAGGACACAATATCATACAAGGTACATACCACAGTATAAGCAAATTCAGTGGTAATTATATGATTTTTTTTAAACAGAAGTATTGCAAAACACGTTTTCTTTTCAAGGGTTGGGTTCACGTGAGACTAAGGGTTTTTCGTGAGACCGGTAAGACCAATTTATGTTCATTGATCAACTTTATAAGTTAATGATCTAAAGTTGCACGATAGCAACTTTATGATTATTGAGAAGTCTCGTGGCAATTTTGTGATGATGAATGTTCAGATTGTAGATCTAATCCAAAAGGTTGAGAATTGGTCTTACGAGTCTCACGAAAAACCCTTAGTTTTTTCAACCCAACAATTGGTGAAACCATGCATGATGTAATAATTATGAATCATTGTGTTTTATGAAACATGCTAATTGGTGGTCTTTGCAGGAAACAAGCACTACTACTACTACTATTACTATGTGTATATTCATTCATCCTCAACCTCATATTAATATTCTTTACCACAGAAACGACTTCTGTGAACCACTTCCTGCTCACAGGCCCCACTTGGATTAGCCTATGGGTTTTCAGTGGTCATAATTTCATCAATTCAATCCATAGCTTCCAAATTATATAACATTTGTTTTGTTTGAAAATGATCAATGAAACAATGCCATTTAGATTGGACAACTAGTAGAATACAAAATTATATCCCCCTTCCACTCATAGGTTTCAAAAAACTCAACTGGCCAAAACCAGCTGCAGTGTAAAGGGGATTTAAACATTACATGATAACTGAATTTGTTTAAATTATCATCATGGATTCACCCAAATGTATCAGGAAATCAATGAGAGAATAGGGTTTTCTAGTTTATAAAAATATCACAACAAACAAAAGCCAAGACACGCCTGAGACTAGTCGCAGTGTCCAACCGTCTTCTATGCAAACTTGGCCTTCAATGCCCCTACTGGGATCTTGCTCAAAACCTTCACACTGAATACCGCATACTGCTTCTTGATCTCGGCCTCTGCTTTCTCAGCAAAAGCATCAACCTTGTCCTCATATCTGTCGTATAGATAGGGTACCGTGTGCAGCAGAACAATGCCTGTTGATGGTTGAGAGAATGAAAAAGAATAGAAACACACAGTCGAGAATGGATAATAATTGTAAAACATCTACAACACAAATGGAAATGATTCTTACTTATGTAGAACAAGGTCAAAAAGTTACAGCAGCTCCCCACAATTGAAAGCACCCACAAACCAGCAACCACCTGATAAAAATAGAGATCAAGTCATTAGTGGAATAGCACATTATCTCCATCATGCCCAACAGATTATATGTAAATAGCCCAAGATTCAGAGAGTTGTCATGCAGAAAGATGGTTGTACGATCAATACATACAGCAAGAAATTTCTTCAAGTCTTTCCCTGAAGCAATATTTCGAAGGATCTCTAGAGCATTATTGACTTCAACCCTAAGGGCAGAGGCCACACCGAGAACAATATCTTCTGGGAGGGCGACTTCTGGGAACTTAGGAGGAGACCTGATCATAAGTGATAGAAGAAAAAAAGGAGGTCAGGCAAGATAGAGATAGATCAAACTACCAGAAAATTAAAAGAAAAGGCCGCAGCAGATTACTTGTTGATGAAGCTGGCTGCATTTGACCACAGGAAAAGGACTGCCAGAACTAATATTAGAGTATGGCATACTAGTGAAAGTAAGTGATACTCAACCAATTCGAAAAGCACCCATATCAAAGTAACAAAACCGAGCACGCCAGCAGAAACCTTCTTGTCCTTCCACAGAAATATATCAGCAGCTGTCATAAAGAAAGTTGAAATGTATAAGGTATTCGAAAGAAAAAAACTGCAATAAATTTTCTCATACATGGAAACAGACATGAGATCAGGCTAGGCAACATGAACTCTATGACATTGTAGGAATTTGGTCTAGTTTTATAGATTGAGTTGTGAAGCAAACAGTCACTACTGTCACCTGCTATTTAATCAAAAGGGTAATTGGAGAGCATAGCATGACATCCATATGTTCCCATGAACACATTCACTATACATGTTGCCAGAGTTGATGAGTAAGACTGTTGAACTTCTAAGACTCATCTTAAATGCAATGATAACCCACATAATATAACACGGATTAATCAGTTACATGAACAAAACAAGTGAAGTGTTCGAATTGAATTTGCCAGCTCCATATTAGCCCAAAAACATAGGAATAAGGTCTCAAAACTAAAATATTTGCCATTTTATCAACAAAATACAGTCGATAAATTTAATCAAAATGAGCTGATCGAATATACTTTCAGGCTCTCAAATCAGCAAAAAATTGCTTTCTATGAGTTCTTAAGTTCCAACAACAAAACAGGATAGTCCATTCAATACAAGGAAATATCCAGATCCGTTAAAGCCTTCTTGTTTTTGGGATTCCAGTAAATTGTCAATGATCCACGACCACGCCGTTCAAGAAATAGATCAAGAAACATTAATACTGCAATCGATAGGTTATTACACATTTAATGCATACTACCAATCCGAAATGGAGTCTCCTGATACTCAAAACGTAAAATCGAATAACAACCATCGCAGATCTAGAGCAGAGATACGATACTAATGTACGATTACTAATTCAAATTGCGGATCTACTTTAGCAATCAACTTAAATTCTTCTTGTTTATGAATCGATGAAATTTAAGAAGCATAGAACCTTAGTCGAGTAATCTAGCACTGTAAAAAAGTTAAAAGTAGAAATGTGCATACGTTTGCCGCCTCCTAAGAGCTTGTGTACAGGCCTCTCCCTCCCGAATAGGCGATAAATCTTGTCCTTGACATCGGACACAGAGGCGCTCTTCTTGCCGTCGTCAGAATCCGACGAAGAAGAATCTTCATTGTGAAACGTTTCCGATATCTTCTCCTTCACTGATTCAACGAACGATGGTTCGTGCTCATGATCACCGGCGACGTTATCGGCCATGTCTAGATTAAAATTACCGGATCTGACGGTGATTCGGCGCCGGAAATCAGGAGAAGGTGCGTGACTTTTTCAAAATTTTCTGGTTTATGTGTGAAGAAGAATGAATAAATATCTGTGCAACCAAGGAGTAGGTTCGGTACCGAACCTTAGGTTCGAAAATATACGAAGCTGATAGCTTTTCACGGTAACCAATGAGTAGCAGGTGCGCGACAAAGGTGGGAAGCGGAAGTTCCGTTTAAATTTGACGGCGTTAGGGTTGACGGCGGGGTCTCTAGTTTCGGGCCGTACCGACGGCTATTAACTTATTAACTATTAAACACGGTTCATGATGGACTTCAAAAGCCCATACGATTAGGGCCCATTACACAAATATTTATTCTTATTGAAATACTTGTGTTTCGATGAGAATAAAAGTTAAGATGAAAAACGTAAGAAGGATCTCCACCCTGGATTTATATTAAGATGTGATGCATCGAGATGAACCAGATCAATCCACATATCTAGCGCGATTCACATGTGGGTTTAAGATTAAAACGAAACAAATATATATCTTATCGGCCCATGTACTTTTTTGTAATCTTTAGTGTTCAGTCACGTAGAATCTTGAACATAATAGTCGGAAAACGGCTAATGGCTAATGGCTCTAACGGTACTCAAACTTATAACCAATAGCGAAGGAGCTCCAGATCCCAACCTTTTATCGGCACCCATTACGCTCTTGTGGTACCTTGGGTGCATTTAGTTGATTCCAATGTTGAATGATTGGGGTGAAAACCTAAGCCGTAACGTAACATTTATGTTTTAATTAAGTAACTTTCAAAATCGGTCTTTAAATCCATCAATAAATTCAATTCGATATAACACAAATTAAAAGGTAATAAAGTCAAACTTAACAAACACCAAAACAAAATTTTACCCAAGTATCTCGTTTTACATAACATGAGCAAATTTATGCTATATTATAAAGCATTTGACAAAAACTCTTAAAAACCATTTTTTTATGTATGAAGTACTTTTTATTGATGCATATTACTTACAATTCAAGGTTGCAAGTAAATTATGCGTAAATACAATTTATTAAAGCTTCATTTTTGAATTCGTATAACTAACTGCAGATAAACATAATCTTAGAGGATAAACATCTCATTTTAATTATAAAATATCTAAAATATAATTAAAATATTATTGAGTCCTAACAGAATACTTAATTATTATCTTAAAAAAATTATTTTAAAATTAATTTGTTTTTAAACTTCAATTAAATTATAATAAAAAATTAAATTAAAAAAATTACATAAAAACGAGAACTTTTAGATAGTTAATTTGATGTTAATATCGCTTATTTTTTTCAAAATTTTATAATATCATCAAATTTATATTTCATTCAAAAATAAAGACATTTTCTTTTTCTCAAAACCACATAAAATCGCATTATAACATCCATAGACCCAAAATATAGAACGAAACATTAGAATCAAAATATACATCGCTGCATTGTGCGAGTACCCTTCTAGTCCTTATAAACAGTGATTACACACACACACACACAGAGATGTACTATATAGAACTTATTGAACGATGTATGCTTGATCTTATAATTTTCCATCCTACTACTTATATAATGCTTAACGGTTATCGTGTATATGACGTAAGAATTTTCATGTACAGAATAAGAGAATGAAGGTATTACCGTCGGATTGATGAGTACTCTAGGTGGCACCGATGAATTTGGCATGTGCATAACGAAAACGGAGATCAAATCTTGAACGTTGTTGGTATATTTGTAAACGACCGTTGTTAACCGACAATAGTAATTGAACATGATCGAGTGAGTTCAGGACGAGCCACCGTCAATCGTCTTTCCCTACAACAAAAAGAAACAAAGAATGGCAGTATGTCCAATTTGAGGAACAAATACCCATCTACTCCTATATTCCTTGGTATATCCTTTTTTCAGTTCAGAAAGAAATGATGAAAGTACATTCTCAAAGAATATACTTTTGCACCCACTTGCCAAATCGTCCGAGTTGACTCAATTTGATATAAAATATTTTTGGTTTATTCTATTTTTGTTTGAATATGAAGGGATTTTGTTGTTGGTTTATTTAAGTGTTGTATGAATAAAGTTATCTTTATGGATTAATTTGTCTATGTAGATTGAACTTTTTTTGAGAGATTTTTCATAGATATAAGTAGGGGTGTAAATGATGCGAGTCGAGCTCTAGTATTAATATACTTGACTTGAATTCGATAGTTATTTCTCAAGCTCGAACTCGACTCGAAAACTCATGAGTAGTTAAAACTAAACTTAACTCGAACTTGATTGCAATTTTTTAAACTCAAGCTCGAACTTGTTTGAAGTTTGAACCAAGCTCGAACTCCTACTCGAATCAAGTTCGAACTCAAACTCGAATGAAACTCACCCGTCGAAATTTATGAAATTTTGAGGTCTTCTCTTATAAATTATAAAACTTAAAAGGTGTTCTTTTAAATTTTAAAAAACTAAATGGATGCACGTCAAACTTTATCATCAAAAAGATAAAGTACAAACCTCATTCGCATCCCTCTCTTTTTATAAAACTCTTCATCTTTCTTTTACTATCTCTCTTTCAATGCAGGACAACTTCATCAACACTTCTATAGTTTTTTTAGAGGTGATCATTTGCATGCATGGGCTCGGCCCGGGTCAAGCTTAACTTGTTTTTTCGGGTCAAGCTTAACTTGCTCGCGGGTTGCTCACGGGCTAATGGGTCTAAAAAGTGTAGCTCTTATAAGTTTATAAACTTGGTCACTGGCAATTAATTAACAAATGTGGATTAAAAAGTAAAGAAAAAACACCGTTGCGATTAAAATTTTAAGCATTAAAGTAACACATGGATCTCAACAAGTGGAGAAAGAAATGAAAAAACAAAATTCAGACTTCCATAAAATCAAGAATACATTCCAATTTTTTTGTATAACAATAATATTCACATTAAGAGGTAAACAAACAACATTTTAGCTTTTTGGGTTCTCAATGAATAACCAAAGAGTCTCATCTTATAATTTTAATAATTTAATTTTAAAATATACTAGTACAATTTTAATTAATGGTAAAAAAAAGTATTAATTATAAAATATAAACGGGTTGGACGGCCTGTCCATATATATTTTTATATTGCCCATATCCGTGTTAATTTTAATAAACAAACTCGGGCCCGTTCATTTTCTGGATAATGGTTGTCCAATTCCGTATTTCTAGCGGGTCGGATGGTCGGGTCTAACGGGTCGTCCCACCCATGAACACCTATAGTTTTTTTGTTTTTTTTAATTATGATTTTAATTTTAAAAAAAATATTGATATAGTTTTTATAATTAAAAATACATAATATTGTTCAAATATCTAAAAATATAATACATGTTTATTACATTATATTATACATATTAAATTATAAAACTGATTATATTTTTAAAACTAATTATATATAAAAAATCAATTATCTCACGAGTTTTTCAAGTCGAGTATTGGGTTAGCTCGACTCGACTCGTTTATATGCAAGGCCGGCCCTGGCCACGTGCAGTCCGTGCAGCCGCACTGGACATCAAAGTTTAAAGGTGCATCAACTTGTTATTTATTACTAGTTTTGGGTTTAATAAATTTAAGAATTAGACAACCGAGCTTTAACTATAAAAACAGGCGCAAGGCTAGTAGTGATGAATACTGAATGCACATCGTTGGAAAAAGTTCGAAAAGTTTTTGTTTGTATAAAATTGTTTGTATGAATAAAGTTGTCTGTATGAATTAATCTGTTTGTATAAGTTGGAAAAGTTTTTGTCTGAGAGAGTTTTTTCGGGTAAGGAGCGTTTTTTTAGTTGGAAGGGACATGTTTGAAAAAAAATGGTTTTCTATATAAAGCTCCCCCTAGAAGCTTACTAGATAAGTCATTTTCTATATCATTAAGCCACTACGAAACAGTCATGCATAGTTGAGCGAATAAGTTATTAGTTCCATTAAACTTATTAAGCTGCTAACAGATAAGCGCTTAACCTTTATTCGTTAGACCTGTAACTTTTTAGTTATACTTTTTGCTAACTATGACAGCAATTTGGATATAATTTACTATTTTAGTTAAAAAAATCTAATTATAATTTTCCTTGTCTTTTAAGTTCCATATATTGAAATAAAGTTTCTATTTTGCTAATTTCAATTTGAAAAGGGGAAAACTGGAAAAAAAAATGAAGCACGATCTTAATCCAGGCTTTATCATTTTATCATTTTATATTTTGTATTCGGGGTTTTAGTTTTTATCCCCCCCACCCCCAATTGTATTTTTTTAATTATATAATTAATAAAAATCAACATCGGGATGAGATATTTAGCTTGCATAGGCTCTAAACTCTTTAAAAAATCACATGTTTTGTTGTTTCATTGACTTAAAAAAATAAACTTATGGGCATTTTTTATTATTTTCACACAGGGCATTAAAAATCTTAGGACCGACCCTGTTTATATGTCGAGTCGAGTTTGAGCCGAGCCTATTCGAGTCGAGTGTTGACCGAGTCGATCTCGAATAGCTCGCAAGTTGTCTCGTATAATTTTCACCCCTAGATATAAGGAGTGTGTTTTTTAATTGGAATTATAGGTTTAGAAAAAACTTGGTTTTCTACATAAACATTCCCCCTAGAAGCTTACTAAATAAATCATTTTATATATCATTAAAGTCACTACGAAACAATCAAGTAAAATTGATCATTAAGCTTACTAAGGGTATTTTAAGCATATTTGAAGATTCGTATGATCTTTTTAACTATTAGGGTTTGTAGGAACTTGAAATTGATAAGAATTGTTACCAAAAATCGTCTAAAGGTATTTTACTAATAAGTGTAGGTAACCCGGAAGGAGAGAAGCGTTCATAAGCCTCCAGTCTCTTGTGATAATTTCTAACAGTGGTATGAATATCTACTTTCTCTCAACACATGGGTAATCAAATGTAGTGATTATCCATTCCACGGAATTTTGATCATGGTATTCATCCACAAAAGTGGAGGTTATCAAGATGTTATCCGGAATCTTTTGTGTTTATGTGATGTCTTGTTTTAAAGACTTTGTATGCTTGAGACTTCGATCCGTTAACGGTGTATTTTATGATTTTTGCCGATAAATTAATTTGAAAG